TTTTCACTTAAAAAAAGTACTTTCTCTGATTTAGTTATTTTGTTGTGTTTTGCTTTGCTTTGTTTTGAGATGGGACCTCAATGTGTTGCCCAGGCTGGTCTTTTACCCTTGGGCTCAAATGATCCTCCTGCTTCAGAAATGTAGTTATTTTTGTGCCTAGTAAATATGCTGTAAGGGAAGAGATCTCTTCGGACCTAAATATTTTGGCAGCTTTTCACACCAGGTGTGGTGGTGTGTATCTGTAGTCCCTGCTACTGAGGAGATTGAGGCAGGAATATCTTTCGAGCCCAGGAGTTCAAGGCTGCAGTGCTGTATGATTGTGCCTGTGAAGAGCTGCTACAGTCCAGCCTGGACAACACAGTGTGATCCCATCTCTGTAAATAAATAAGTAAATAGCTTGGCAGTTACTGATCAAATTAAGAATTATTTTTTACCTGAGGGATTATGTTTAGTTTGGTTATTGTTGAAATCACTTCCAAAATTCTAAATTATTGCCAGAACAATTGGCTGTTTAACAGCTTTTGTTTTTAGCTGCTCTTTGGTTTTGTCTTTTTACTTATGTATTTTGAACTATACCCTCAAGCTGTTACTTTTCCTAATAAACTGGTCTTTTAGATTATGTGTTAAATGTTACCATGAAATTACATAAAAATACTTAAAAGAATTAAAATTGAAGCTGGGAAGACTATGCACTTCCTGAGGCAGGGTTCCTGGTGAGTTTTTTTCTCCAGTGTATTTTCAGTGCTTACCAAGGTGCACAGTAAGTTTTAGTTACTTAGTGAATGAATATTCATATACAAATAAAATGTAAATCAAGGCAATAGGATGTTTTGGTAATTTTAATTTGAGGATAAAGAGACAAGGTTTCTCAGCATACAATTTAATTATAATTTATGTGTAAACAAGTAATTTTAACAAAATTATTCACAATTTTTTATTGTGAATAAACTCACACTTTTTTGTTACAACTTATTTTATTTTATCATTTTATTATTTATTATTACAAATATTTCCTTGTTCTGTCAGGCTTTTTTTCACATACCTGTCTTATTTTTACAATCATAAGATATAAGGTGTTAAATTCTGGTTTGTAAATTTAGTGCATTAGAAGTTTGCCCATGCTATAGTAGCCTTGGTAGTTATTATGTTAATAGATGTATAATAGTGACCACATTAATTTTAAACAATTGAGGTTTTTAAAATGTGTATGTTGATTAGATTCTTCTGAGTTGAAAGTATTTAAATTATGCTTCATTCAGACTTGAGCAAAAATAAGAGCCTATTTAATAAGTTCTACATGGAAAATTATTCTGGGAAGTTGCTTACTTTGCCTTGTTTTTAATACTGAGAGCTTATACAGTAAGTGATAAGGCTTTATTGAGTCAGACCTTAGAAGAAGAAAAACTTTGCTTATGTTTTTGATAACTTTTTTGTAGCTCTGGTATTATGGAGAAAATTTGTTTATGCTACATGGAAAATCTCTGACTGTGATTCCATACAAGTGTGAAGTGTCATCATTAGCAAGTGCTCTTGGAAAACTCAAACATGGTCAAGATCCAGGTAGAAACTTAACGCTTGTTTTATTAATACAAACCATTTTATTAACCTCTAGTTTCATATAGATTACCACAGCCTTCTATTTGTAAAGCTTGTTTTTAATTTTGAAATTTACCACTGTTTATTGAAACTTGTGAACAGGCCGGGCACAGTGTCTCATCCCTGTAATCCCAGCACTTAAGGAGGCAGAGGTGGGAGGATAGCTTGAGCCCAGGACTTCAAGACCAGCCTGGGCAACATAGACCCCGTTCTCCACAGAAAAAGGAAAAACAAAAAGTTTGAAACCTGTGAACAGTCCAAATTGCAGGTTCTACTGCAAGCTGAAGAGCTATACTGTTTTGAATGCCAGTGTTGTTCTGACTTTTGGGGCAATGGGAGAACTCCTAAACACAATCAGTAATACCTCCGTCCTCCCTTGTTTACTGATGGCCTCATCTGTTAGCTTCATGTTGTTGGACATACAGCCTTTTTACTGTGTTATGGTTTACTTATCTGAGGTTATCAGTAGAATTACATGGACTTTTAAAGCCTCTCTTAAATTGTAGGAGTGGTTTTTTTTTTTTTTTTTAATTGTTTAGTTGGTCAAAAATCAGTAAGTCGAAACATTCCAGAAATTGTGCATTTTGCATTTTCTTAGGAACTCATGTCATGCCCCGTTTTGTAAACTGGGAAACACCTCAAGGATGTGGACTTGGATTCCAAAACTCAGAGCAGTCAAGAAGAATTGTAAGTTACGTAGTTGAAATTGAAATGTTAGTGCAAATGTTGAAAAACAGAAAAAGACTGAATTATTTTAATGAATCATATCCTTACAACTCTTATAGCTTTGACTTTAATGACAGGACAGTTTGAGGCTTGACCCCAGTAACCTCACATTCTTTATCCAGAAATGCCCCAAGTTGTCTATTAGTTATATTTACTTTTAAAAGTTTTTGATGAGAGCAAAAGTGTGCTTTGGGGTGTTTCATAACCCTCTAAATGTATATTGGATCTCTTACATTGTTTTGTGATCCTAATCGGTTTACTTAATTCCAGTTAAGGAGACGAAAAATTGAAGTGAGTTTACAGCCAGAGGTTCCACCATCCAAACAACTTTTGTCAACCATAATGGTAAATAAATAATATGAAAAACAAAACTCAAGTGTTTCAAAGAAATCACATCTAATCTCTATTCTGTCTTATTGTTATGATCATCTTGATAGCGATAGCTATAGCTAACATCTGTGTAATATCTTAAGGGTGTCAGAGTTGATCCAATATTTTGGCTTCTTTGATGCTCGCTATCACCTCATGAGATTGATATGGTGTTAGTCTTCTCTCTTTCTCATTTAACTTTGCAGTGTCAGCTTCAGCTTTGCAGGAATGCATGAAAACTGTTAGTCATTTGAGCAAATGTTGTGCTAGGAAACTTTCAAGTTCGGAGTGACATTCGTTAATGTGCCAAACTGAATTCTTGAATTCTGCCCTTTCAGGAAGATTCAGAAAAACACATTGAAGTAGAAGTACGGAAATTTTTGGCTCTGAAGCAGACACCTGACTTTCATACTGTCATTGGGGACACAGTAACAGGACTTCTGGAAAGGTGTAAAGCAGAACCGTCATTTTATCCCCGGAACTGTCTGATGCAGCTTATCCAAACGCATGTGCTTTCTTACAGGTAGCTGTTTGTGTGTACCACACTGTACGTGCATAACTCTTCTGACCTTGTTTTTTATAGTTCTAATCTTCTGGAACTCTGAAAAGGCTTATAAATGATCTGCAGTTGAGATTTTTCTTAATATGTAATAGTGATTCAGATTTTTTTGTCTTAGTTTGTGCCCCGACTTAATGGAGATTGCCTTAATAAAGAAAGATGTACAGTTGTTACAACTCTGTCTACAACAGTTCCCTGACATTCCTGAATCAGTCACCTGTGCTTGCTTAAAAATTTTCTTGAGGTAAGTTAGACTCCAGTGGTCCTTTTTCTTCATTACATTTATAATCTGTTACATTGTTTGATTTCCAAAACTTTGATGCTTAGGAAATGAAATTTTTCCCAAAAGTTTGGTGATAAGGATTAACCTCTTGCTTTCAATTAACATTGTAGCATTGGTGATGACAGTCTTCAAGAAACAGATGTCAGTATGGAGTCAGTTTTTGACTATAGTAATTCTGTGCATGATGAGAAAATGGAAGAGCAAACTGAAATTCTCCAAAATGGCTTCAATCCTGAAGAAGATAAATGCAGTAACTGTGATCAAGAGTTAAATAAAAAGCCTCAGGACGAAACAAAGGAGAGCACTTCATGCCCTGTAGTACCAAAAAGAGCAGCTCTACTGTATCCTTTGACATAGAGCATCCGTCTGTTTCTCTTTATAGGGTATAGTTATATGCCAAGCAATAACTAAGGAGTAACTCAGTAATGTAAGGTTTTTCTTTCCTTTTCCAATTGTGTTTTGTTTCTGTTTGAAAATAGATTATGTTCAATGCTACATTAAGTAAGGTTTACTTAAACCTGTTTAATTTAACTAGGCTGGGCATGGTGGCTCATGCCTGTAGTCCCAGGACTTTGGGAGGCCAAGGTGGGAGAATTGTCTGAGCCCAGGAGTCCGAGACCAGACTGGGCAACATGGCTAGACCCCCATCTCTACATCAGTTTAAAAAAAAAGAAGCAGCAGCAGCAGCTATACTAACACAGAAGCTCTATCAATTCTGAAGATCAGTATTCTGAATAAATACCAATTAAAGTATTCCACATGATCTCCGATGATTAGGAGAGTGTTTGGCCATAGAGGTCTTTTAGAGACGTAAAACTTTTGTATAAATTTAGAAAACTAACATTGAGGAAGGAAGTTACTCATAAGTTCAATAGAATAGCTTCTATTTATTGAAGTAAGATTTTCCTTTAGTCCTAAGTAATGCAATTCTTCATTCAGCATATAGCGAAACATTTCTTCTGCCTCATTTGAAAGACATCCCAGCACAGCATATCACAGTAAGTGTTCATACAAGTTGTATAGAATTTTACTTCCGGTTTAAACTTTGCTATTTAACTCTAACCAGCTGTTAGGGCATTCTAAAGGTTATCAGATTCTTTCATGTGAATAAGAGGTTGCCCAGCTCTCATGGCAAAAAATTGTGCTGAGAAAACTCGAGCGATTCTAGGGTGATAGACCATGGCATATTCCTTGTGCCAAACTTGAAGGCCAAGTTAAGCTTCCTAAGTTATACATGAATAAACACTAAAAAGAATTGCTGAGAGAAGGGTTCTGTCTTCTCTACCTATTATTTACAAACAATGAGCTCATCACCACCACTACCCCCAAACCAGATGAGCTCCTCATTAATGGGAGGAACTGCATTTTATTCATTTTTGTGTCTCCAGATGTCTGGTGTATTTGTTTGATATGTAGTTAAATTGAACATTTTTTTCAGTCTTCGTGATGGGTTTATATAATAAGATACATTTTTTCTATCAAAGTGATAAATTGTCCATTGTTTTTCCACCCAGCTGTTTCTCAAGTATTTGTATTTCCTGTATCTGAAGTGTAGCGAAAATGCTACTATGACTCTTCCTGGAATACACCCACCTACCTTGAACCAGGTGAGATTATGTTTTTACTTTGATTTGGTGCTGGGAAAAATTCGTAAAAAAAAAGTTGTATTCAAGGTCAGCACCTGCATTCATTCTTCTTGTTTCCTAGGCCATAAGAATCTCTTCCCTCATAAAACCAAACCACTGCAGTTAGAAATGGGGCGTCTCTCATGTAATAGACTTCTAGATCCATAATTCTACACCACAGAATTTTAATTTATCTTAAATTCCTGATTCTTCATTATGACCCTTTTCCAAGAATTTCCTTAGCCTTGATGGGAGACAACAAGAAGGAGCTGATAATATAAGTTGCCCCCTTAATAATCTCTTAAGACTAAGAGAATAGGCAGGGCCTGGTGACTCACACCTGTAATCCCAGCACTTTGGGAGGCCGAGGCAGGAGGATTACTTGAGGTCAGGAGTTTGAGACCAGCCGGGCCAACATGGTGAAACGCCATCTCTACTTAAAACACAGAATCAGCCAGGCATGGTGATGCATGCCTGTAATCCCAGATACTTGGGAGGCTGAGGCAGGAGAACTGCTTGAACCCAGGAGGTACAGGTTGTAGTGAGC